GAACAATCTTTCAACAAGTGGTTCTGGGACAACCAGATGGCCACATGAAAAAAGAAATTGGACCTCTGCTTGACACCATATACAGAAATCAACTCCAAATGGACAAAAGACCTAACATGTAAGAGTTAAAACTTTACAACTTTTGGATGAAAATATGGGGGCAAATCTTTGTGATTGTAGATTATGCAACACTTTCTTAGATATGAAACTGAAAGCACAATTGACTAAAAATATTTTTAAAAATTGTATGTCATCAAAATTAAAAACTGTTGTGCTTTCTCAGACACACCATTAGGCAAGTGAAAAGATAGTCTACAGAATGGGAGAAAATATTTGCAAATCATATATTTAATAACAGGCTTGTATCCAGAATATACTAACAAAAACTCTTACAACTCAATAGTTAAAAGATAATTAACAAATTAAATATGGACAAAAAATCAGAATAGACATTTCTCCAAAGAAGATATGTAAATGGTCAATAAGCACTTGAAAAGATGCTCAACATCATTAGCCATATGGGAATGTAAAGCAAAACCACAATGAGACACCACTTCTTGCCCACTAGCATAACTCTAATAAAAAAGACAGACAATAACAAGTGTTGACATGAATGTGGAGAAATTAGAACCCTCATACACAACTGTGAAAATGTAAAATGGAGCAATCACTTTGGAATAACAATTTGGCAGTTCCTCAAGGTTAAACATAGAGTTACCATATGACCTAGCAATTCCACTCCTAGGTATAAGTGTATACCCAAAAGAAAAGAAAACATATGTCTAAACAAAAACATGTACATAAATATTCATAACAGCATTATTAATAATAGCCAAAAGTGGAAACAACCCAAATGTCCACCAATTAATGAATGCATAAATATGTGATATAGTAATATAGATAAATATTATTTAGCAATAAAAAGCAATGAAGTACTGATATATGTGACAACACGGAAAAGCCTTTGAAAACATGCTAAGAAAAAGAAGCCAGTCACAAAAGACCATTTGTTGTATGATTCCATTTATTTTAAATGTCCAGAAAAGGCAAATCCATGGAGACAAAAAGTAGATTGGTGATTGCCAAGACTGGAGGGTATGGAGGGAGAAAATGGGGGTGACTAATAATAGGTGTGGGGTTTCTTTCTGGGGTTTGAAAATGTTTTGAAAAAGAGATTGTGGTCTTTGTGGCACAACCTGTGAATACAGTAAAAACTACTGAACTGAACACTGCATTTAAAATTTTTTTTTTTTTTTTTTTTTTTTTTTTTTTTTTTTTTTTAGAGACAAGGTCTCACTCTGTCACCCAGGTTGGAGTACAGTAGCATGTCATAGTTCACTGCAGCCTCAAAATCCTGGGCTCAAGTGATCATCCCAACTCAGCCTCCCTAGTAGCTGGACTACAGGTGTGTGCCACCATGCTTGGTTAATGTTTTTTTGTTGTTGTTGTTGTTGTTGTTGTTTTGTAGAGACAGGATTTTGCTATGTTGCCCAAGCTGGTCTTGAACTCCTCAAGTGATCCTCTCATCTCAGCCTCCCAAAGTGCTGGGATTACAGGCATAAGCTACCAGGCCTGGCCTGAACTGAAAAATTTAATTGGGGGAATTGTATAGTTGTGGGAATTGTATAGTTATATCTCAAAGTTGTTAGGAAAAAAAAAAAGGCACAATGGATGTGGGGTTATTGGCTGTGCAAATGGCCCCAATTCTTCACTCCCTCTGTATCCATGCCCTTTGCCATGTGACTTTCTACTTTCTCTCTCTAAAGATGTGGGGTGGGTTGGGCTATTCTTGCATTGCATAAACAAATACCTGAGACTGAGTAATTTATAAGAAAAGAGGTTCAATTGGCTCACGGTTCTGCAGGCTGTGCAAGCATGTTGCTGACATTTGCTTGGCTTCCGGGGAGGCCTCAGGGAGATTTTACTCATGGCAGAAGGTGAAGCGGGAGCAGGCATGTCACATGGCCAGAGAGAGAGAGAGAGAGAGAGAGTTGGGGGAGGTGCCACATACTTTTAAACAATCAGATCTCATGAGAACTCACTTATCACCAGGGAGATGGCACTAAGCCATTCATGAGGGATACACCCCCATGATCGGAACACCTCCCCACCTTCATCACTAGGGATTACATTTCAACATATGATGTGGTGGAGACACAGATATCCAAAGTATATCATGGAGTCATTTCCCTATTCACTGAATCTAAGTTGATGTTGTCACTTTGTCCAATAGAGTGCAGGGAAATGACTTGATGTCACTTCCAAGCCTGGGACTTAAGAACTCTTGCATGTTTCCATTTGGCCTTTGCTCCTCTGCCATTGCCATGACAATATCCCTGGATTAGTCTGATAGAGAATGAGAGACGTGACACAGAGAAGCTTCTCTTCAATCATCCCATCTAAGGTCATCCTAGATCAGTCAATAGCCAGTTCCCAAGCATGTGAATGAGCCCAGCAGTGACCAGAAAAACCACCCAGTCAAACCCTAATTCTCAAATTTTAAACTTACAGACTAATTACATGTTTGTTGTTTCAAGCCCGTGTGTTTTGGGATTGAAGTATTTGTGTGAAAATAGGTAACTGATACAGCAGGATAACACAGCATTCATTGCCATCTCAGGAACTTGAAGGAAGAGAATAGAGAGGAAAGGTAATGAAATTTAGCACTTCCTAGACCTCAAGTCCCTTACAGAGAAGGAACTTGGAAAGTTAAATATTGTGTGCATGCATAAAAATATAAAAATGTGAGTCAAAAGAAATACAAGGTGATTGGAAATTCCATGGTGACATTTAAAAATATATAGCATATTCTATTTACTGTCTAGTAGTGATTACACTAAAAAAAAATTCACCTTAATTTTTTTTTTTTTTTTTTTTTTTTTTAGACAGAGTCTTGCTCTGTCACCAGGCTGGAGTGCAGTGGTGCAATCTAGGCTTACTGCAGTCTCCACCTCCTAGGTTCAAGCTATTCTCCTGCCTCAGCCTCCCGAGTAGCTGGGACTACAAGTGCACACCACAACACCCAGGTAATTTTTTTTTTTTTTTGTATTTTTAGTAAAGACGGGGCTTCACCATGTTGGCCAGGATGGTCTCAATCTCCTGACCTTGTGATCCGCCTGCCTCGGCCTCCCAAAGTGCTGGGATTACAGGCATTAGCCACTGTACCTGGCCAATTTTTTAAATATACAACTTTACCCAAGCAAATCACATCTGTGAAAAATATGTAACTTTATTTTATTCATGAGAAAATGTCAATAGTGAGACAGTCTGCTAAAAAACTGACCAGTACTCTCAAAACTGTCAAGTTCCTGAAAGACAAAAAAGATTGAGGAACTTTCCAAAATTAGAGAAAATAAAAGAGATACAATTAAATGAAATGTGGAATCATTGGATTTTGGAATAGAAAAGGGACATTAGTGGAATAATTGGAAAATTTTGAATAAGATCTATAGGTTAATTAATAGTAAAAAAGTATTAAATCAGTGTTCATTTTCTGGTTTCAATAACACTACTATGAATAAATAAGTTGTCAACATTTGGGAAGCTGGGCTCAGGGTTATACAAGAATCATATGCACTGTTCTGCAAAGTTTTTGGAAATCTAAATTTTTTTTAAAGTTGGGCCACATTTATAATTTTTTAGAAAGGGGGAAAGAGTATATAGAAAAATGTTAACAGTAGCTATTTTCCACAAATAATTTGTTGACATGCCAGATATTATTTTGGTACTAGGGCTACAGCAATCAATGAGACAGAAAAATCCCTGCTCTTATGCAAGGTTCTCTTCTTCATAAGGTAAACAGAATATATGCAAGATCATTTGAGCTAGTGTTAAATACTGTGTAGAAAGTAAATCAGGGTAAGGCAGTAGGAACAGACTGTATGGGTCATTATAGCTGAAGTGGTGAGGACATCTCTCTTTGAGGGGCTGTTAATTGAATGAGACCTGAGTGACCTAAGGAACTGACTCTGTATGGAAAGGACATTTTGGGCAGGTTAAAAGCAAAGCAGAGGCCCTGGGGCAGAAGCAAGTATGAAGTGTGTTAAGAAGAGGAAGGCCAGCCTAGTCAAAAGTGGAATGTTACTAGCTTTCCAAGTAAGACTGAAGCAGTATGCATCATCCAGAACAGGTAGCTAGGGTCAGGAGTTTGCATTTTATGTACAAAAGGAAGTGATCAGGTGGTTTTAAGAGGGTGGGACATGATGTGACTGGGATTTTTTTAAATGTCATTTCATTTTTTGTGGGAAACGACCTGCAAGAGGAGGAGGGCAGCAGAAGTGAGGTCTGTTGGGAGGCCATTGCACAAGTCTAGAGAAGGAGAGTTGGTGGCTTGACTAGGATGATCAGTGAAGTGGCAGAGTTGCAACTGGCCCTGGATGTATTTTGTTGGAGGTAGAGCTGAGTAAATTTTACAGATGGACTGAATGTTCTGGTACAGGGAAAGCAAGGAATCTAGGATAATTCCTTGTTTTCTTGTCCAATTTGGGTGGATTTTGGTGCCACTTACCAGGAAAGAGTGATAGAGGAACAGTTTTCTGGGGGAAAAATCAAGAATTCTGTTCTGGATATATTAAATTTGAGACTTTTTAAAGACCATTATTTAATGTTTTTGCAATGATTAATGAATATATGTAAATGTATTTTTTTAGGAGCTTTCCATTTTGGGAAGAAAATGAAGTAGGTTTTGGGAACATTCAAAAATGTTAGGCAAACTGGGTACTAAAATTATTTAAATAAAGACAGAGGTATATCTCACCTGGAAAAGTGATCGAGAGGAGACTAATATATAGGACAAAAGGCTCCATCCCAAAAAGTAGCACTTGTAGAATGCACAAGTAAAAGTGATGTATTAAATTTGTTCCTGGGCGTGAACAATGATGAGCATCCATAGGTGAACTTTTTACAACTGTCATCACCCACATAAATACAACATTTGTCAAAAGAAAAATAAAATCATGCAACTATCCTTCAAGTTTAGAAAAGGGAACTCTGCTCAAATGTGCATGTAGAAAGAGATATAATGGTATGACAACTTCTCTTTCTTTTTCTTTAAAGGAACAGTATACAGGAACAATAGGAGGGTAATTATTGAAAGACTATGGTATTGCGATCAAGGGTGTGGACTGTGGAGCCCAGTGATCTATGCTCTACTCTTATCTCTACCACTTACTGGTTGTATAACTTTGTTCAAGTTCTGTAACCTTTCTGTGCCTCAGTTACATCATCCGTAAACCGAGATAATAATATGTGGTAGACCCTGCTATGCACCCCACACACCCTCCTCCCAGATTCCACTTCTCAGTGGCTGGGAATATTACCAGAAGATGTCCCTTAGCTGTCAGTCCTTTTTGGGATTGTCTTGGTTGAAGAAATTCTCTCCCTCGAGGTCACAGCCATATCCAATGACTGATCAATACAGGGTATAAAGGCCTGGCCCCATCACTCCAATTCAGGGAAGCTAAAAGGGCCTTCCCAGCTCCAGAGTTCTAGATGGAGTTGGCTGAGGCTTCCATTGGGCCTGCATTCCAGCTCAGCTGCTCACTTTGCTCAATCCTCCTTTCTTCTCCTTCTTTTCCCAGGTGTTGATCCCAAGACCACTCCCTAGTAAACATCTTGTAATCTAATCTCCCTCTTGGAATCTGCTTCCCAGGGAGTCTGACCTGCAACATAAGAGTACCTTCCTTATAGGGTGATCTTTAGGAATCAATAAGTCACCATACATAAAGCATGTGAAAGGGTGCTTGCACATAGTAAGCGGAATGTGTCAGCTATTATTATTGAAGCAATCCTCTTATGATGCTATCAACTCCTGCAATTGTCTTTATTTTTCCCTCAGTCATAAAAGGCTCATTATAGTGGTTTGAGTTAATTTTCCGTATGTTGCAAATAAATTTAACTGGCTTGTTTTAGGTGATGAGAAATGAAAGAATAAAACAGGTTTCTGACCTATTTGTTGCTATTGGAATCCCCACATTCTTGTCAGAGAGGCTGTCTCTGTGTTTGCAGGCTGACTATAAGCATCTTCTCTGTTTGCATATTGGGTTTTTATTTTAATTGAGAAAAGGTAGATGTGAATTATTGTATTTTCATTAGGCTTGGATTATATACATGTCCCAATAAAGCCATCTGCATGACAAGAATCTGCACTTGTAGGGTCTTCTTCTGAAATGAGAAGAAACCATTATCTTCAGCTTAGTTTATTCTGTTCAGACAGAAAGAGTTCTGATAACCAGAGGGCTGGATCTAAGCTCATTTTGTCACTGCATTTTTTTTTTTTTTTTTGGTCTGGTTCATAAGCACTTGATCCTTGTGGACAAAAATAGAGATTGAACTTTTCCTATAAAACTGAAGCTCTAAAAAAAAAAAAAAGAAAGAAAAGCCAGAAAGCTCCCATACTCAAAAGCAAGGAAAACAAGACCACATAATGCTAAATTTAAAAAATAAATGTTAACTCAAAAGTCAGATTATACATTAGATTATGCCACATTAAAACATCAGGAGGAAGAAGAATTGACAAATGCAAACTGGCTGAAAAGTAGAGGCTATGGTTGTTAAGGAAGATGTCATTGTTTTTCTTACAATTCTCCAAAGAGCAGTAGTTGTGTAAGTTAGTTTAAACCATGTATACAATATATACAGCATGTGAGTATATTCTTCTAACAGGAAAGCCAAAACTTCTGTGATCCCATTTCCCCATATTTGTCTAATATTATTCCCTAATACAAAGCCTTCATATAGCACAGTTTTGGAATTAATCACCAAAGAGGTGACCCTCCCTGTCCTATTTAGTGGGAGTTATGTGCTGTTTGCCTCTCACCCACTCTTGATCATTTGAAGGCCTTTGGCTCACACGAGACTCCAAGCCACTATCCCTGGCAATCAGGATACATGTCCTCACTCCATTGGGCACCTTGTTTCTCAGACACAAGTTGAATAAATTGGGAGTGGCTGGCATAAAGCTCAAATTTATCATTAATGTCCACCCATTTCACTTTCTTGGCATCATTGCCAGCTTCCAGAGGAAGATGGTCCATTATTTCACCGGTTTCATCATGGTAGTTCACAGCCTCTGTCTCTATCCAGGAGTTATCTGTGTTCCGAGAATCATCCACATAGCCTTTATAGACCACAAAATGTTCCTGGCTGAAGAATTTGTGCAATTGTTTCTCCAACTCCTGCATTTCTTCCCTAGATTTCTATAAAGACTTCATGGCTTCCTAGCCAAATTCTCTCTCCAATGTAGCACTCATTTTCTCTCCTGGATCTACCACCCACCCTGGGATTGCCTATTCTCCACAGTCCTTCCTTTTGATGGCTACAAATTGCAGGATATTTTTCCCAGAAATAGGGTGGGTAATTTAGTTTCCCTTGCTATCCCTTTTCCATCTGGTTAAGATGGGATCTGCAGTATGATTGGGGCCTCAACACCCCAAAAGCCCTGGGCCAACCAGTCCTGTCCGACATGCAGGAGTTCTAAGTCTACCTTTCTCAATCTCATACAAGCCATGCTGGCTCCTTCTCTCCACATACCCATCCTTTTTGTTAAACTTAGGAGAGAAGTTCCTTTCACCCACTTGAGGGTCTGCCCACATGGGCCCGTCCAAGACAGAGCTGGCAGTGTACTCTCGGGGCGTTATTCTCGTCACTCGGCCAGCCAGCTCACTTTCTCATGGGGAACCAGGCTTCGCTCCACCTTGGAGTCAGGGTACTGAGATGTCCGGGCCTTCTCGTGGGGCTTCTCAGCAGTGCGCTTCCAATCTGACATGAAGTTTAGAGAAAACCCATGTCAGGAAAACAGGCTCCAGCTGACCGGGATGTTGGGGCAGCTGCTGGGCCTGCCTGTCACAGAGGCCAAGGTCATGAAGGGAGACACGGTCGCTAAAGCCTTGGACAGGCGGCATCCAGGCATCCAGCCATGCAAGACCCAGCGGCCCAAGGGGATTTCGGTCGCTCTCTGCGGGGGACGAGGTCTCCACCGCAGATCAGCACCCGCCCGTGGGGAGGTGGCCACGTTTCTCTCCTGAACACCGGCTAATGGCCCGCTTTCCTAAAAGACCGTGTGGTGTCTCCAATGGCTACAACGGGGCGCGCCGGTGGCTCAGGCGGGGGGCGGGGTAACGGTGCCGCGGAGTGGCCAGGGGCGTACCACGACTGGACCGCGCCCTCTCGCTGCCACCCTGGCGTTTTGGTTGTAAATAGAGATTCTGGCCTCTGAAAAAGCTCCCAAATGGAAAGTGCTGGGGTTGAGAACAACTTTCTAACAACAGTAAAATTAGCAAAGGACAATCACCAAAGTGCCATTAGCCCACTAGCCATTTACCAGTAAATTTAGTTCACCAGGTTTAGGATGCTGTCTATTAGGGAGAGGGCAGACTGAACGTGGGGGTAGGAGTGGACAAAATTCCCTGTTTGGGACGTTCAGAAGCCGAGTGGGGGTGACCTCAAAAAAGAAGGGGGACTCACCTGGTGCACTGAGCGTGGTGCTGATGAGAACTCCATGAGAGGGTGTGATGAGCAGGGTATGTGTTCAAAATGTGAGTCTATCATTTACTACCTGAATGGTTTTGGCAAGTTGCTTAATCTCTCTTTCCAAAGGAGTATTTGCTACAGAATGCCAAGTGCTGTGCCAAGCACAAAAGAGTGAACTGAAGGCTGAACCACGGGCCCTTTGCTTTCAAAAGGATTCTGCTTGGAGAGGCAGCAGATTTTTATTTAATTAAAAAAAAAAATAGCTGGGCACGGTGACTCATGCCTGTAATCCCAGCACTTTGGGAGGGCAAGACGGGCAGATCACGAGGTCAGGAGATGGAGACCATCCTGGCTAACACGGTGAAACCCCGTCTTTACTAAAAATACAAAACTAAAATTAGCGGGGCATAGCGGCGGGCGCCTGTAGTCCCAGCTACTCGGGAGGCTGAGGCAGGAGAATGGTGTGAACCTGGGAGGCAGAGCTTGCAGTGAATTGAGATCATGCCACTGCACCCCAGCCTGGGCAACTGAGCGAGACTCCATCTCAAAAAACATATATATATATATGATATATATGATATATATTTAAGATTAAGACAAATGGTGCCTTTTAAGAAATGAGTTAGGCAGGATAATTAATACACCCATATATATATATGGAGAGAGAGAGAGAGAGAGAGAGAGAGACAGACAGACAGACAGAAAGAGAGAGAGAGAACTAGCACCGAAAGGGCAATGCCAGGTATGAGGTAAAAGTTGAACACAGGTTAAAAACCCAGCTCCAATTCCTCCGCGTGCCACTTTCTTGGGGGAAGTTACATAAGCTCTCTTCAGGTTCCTCATGTATAAAATGAAAATATTAATAACTGCCTCATAGGGCTGTGGTGACAATTAAGTAGGATGTTATAACACGTGTTAGCTCAATGTCTGGTCCACAGCACAAACTCAATAAATATTAGTTGTCATCACTGTAATTATCATTAACTTTTTTTGATTCTGCAGCTTGAAAACTGTAGATTAGAACAGGACAGCTGAGATGATTATGGGAACTGAGCAGCTCACATATGAGGTCAGAGTTAAACAGCTTATGATTAGAGAAAATCAGGATAAGAAATAACAGAAATTTGGGCTGAGAAATAACAGCATCTGTCCTGAAATGATAAATAATGAGAAGAGGTGCCGTCTTAGTCATTACTCAGAAGGAAACAAGCCCTAGGGAAAGGTATCTGATCATTTGAAACAGTCCCATTAGAAAGATGTTCAATGAGTAAATGATTTTCTGGTCAAATATGTTTGGGGAATTCTACATATTTTATCACCCTGCCCCCTTAGAAATTCAGGATTCACATTAGTGTTCTAAAGATCCTGAAAATTCCTATAAACACAAATCAACATTAAACTATTTAATTTTGTTTCATCCAGTATTTCCATTATCTGGTTAGAAACATTCTAACCAGAGAATGTTTCTTTTTTGCAATAAATGGTAACATATTAGGAACATACTTCTTTAAGTTTAGAAAGCTTTCAAAATGTATATGTCTGATTGAGGGTAGATCCCTAATCATTTGAAGTTATTACCATCATCATAACTATGGAAGGCAGCTACAGAATACATACCCAATGCCCTCATTAAACTCCAAACAAGATGAGGCAGGTTTCTAGAAGGCTTGAAACACAGAAATAGCTGGGGCTATGGAGAACAAAATGGTAGAAAAGGACTGAGAACAGAGAAATATGAGATATAGTCATCCTTAACCATCACTGTCATAAACATTGTTGAGGGTTGGCTGTGGGCAAAGCACTCTACAAAGTACCACTGGGAAAGAAAGATGATCCTTAAGGGACACAGTCCCAGCTCTATAATTCTTGTCTCTCTATGCCTCAATTTTTTAAATCATGGAATTCTATTCCTCTAGGTCTCCTGAAAATGTATTAAGAAAACCACTGATACAAAAACTTAAAACATTTGGGGGAAAGACACTTGTGAATTCCTCATTATTTCCAGGTCTCCTACTCCAGCTCATAAGAAACAAATGGAGCAGATGTCTTGGGTCTGGTTCTGGCTTCCTCCATCATAGGCTTTATAGCTTGCACCTGACCCTTGGCTTCTCTGGGTCTTAGTTCCTCACTAGAAGACGAATCTGTTGGCCTCGGTTATCTATAAAAGTCCTTCCAGAGTTGGCATTTTATGATTCTAGGATCTATGAAAATTTCATTTTAGAAGGGCAAGGTCAATTGTTCCTATGAATCCAAAAGACTAGATGTTCAAATATAAACAGCTAGATGCTCAGGGAAAAACATACCATTGAGGAGAGGAAAGGAACAGGGAGGGTATGGTGTGCCACATACAAGGCAGAAATATAATAATTCATGGGCACATGGAAAGGAACTTTAAAACCAGTAATAAGGCATTTTATTCTATTTTGAGCATCATCAGCAGGCAGAAGATGGTTAGATAAGACCATTTGATGATTGTGGTGCAAAAGATACCCTAAGGGCAAGAAATAAAATAACTATAGTAGAAACCAAAAGAATTATTTGCTGGGAAGCCACTGGGGAGATTCCCTTTCTTAAATTGTCTTCTGAGGCAGAAATGTCTGAGGTAGAACAAGCAGAGCAACACACAGAGAATTTTCTGGTTCTATCCACGAGAAAGCCCTAAAGGAACTATAAGGGGCAATCAGAGAATAAATCTTTGGCCTGTCACTATGAACTATGCCTGAGTCAGAGATTGCCTGTGTCATTCCCATTTTATAATATTAAGGATATTATGAAAGGCAAAGTGGAGATGGGGGGGACCAGATGATTACAAGGTCCAGGCAGTGCAAGAACCCCTAACCATCCTTCCTGCCTTTCTTTGGGAAGCAGAAACAAGTGGTACCCAGCACATTTAATTATCAAGATTATCCATCTCTTCCAAAAATGATGCTAAGGCTCAACTTCAGAAACATATCTTGAAGGAAAGCAGAAAAATGGTATACTCCTCTCTTTAAAGTGGTAATAATGATAATAAATAACAAATTAACTACTATATACTAAGTTATTTCCAAGTCATAGACTGGTGGACAGGTTTGTCCAGGTATGACTGCCCAGTTTTGAATTCTGGTTTAGCCACTTCTTAGCTAGTTGACCTTAAGCAAGTTTTTAAACTTCTCTGGGCCTCAGTTTTCTCATCTAGAAACAATAATGGTATCCATGTTATAGGGTTGATGTGACATAATTCATTTAAACAGCTTAGACTAATGTCTGGCCAATAGTAAGACCTCAACAAATAGTTATTGCAACTGTTACTATTAAGTACTTTACATTTGTTATCCCATTTAATTTTCAAACAACCTTTAGACTTAGGTACATATACTAACAATATCATCAGTTAACAGACTGAGGACATTGCAGTTCATAGAATTTAAATGTGCCCAAGATCACATAGCTAGTTATTACCATATATTTGAGAACCAGAAAGGCTTGATAATATAAACTCATATTTTATTGGTAGTCTGAATGCAAGTTGAATTTGATTTTATACAGCAAAATGGCACCATTTTACTACAACTATAAAATTTTTGACTTAATATTAAGTTGGTTCTTCTGCTAGGTTCACTCTATAAGAGGAAGAATTTGGAGACATTAGCAACCTATTGTAATAACAGTTGTAAAGAGAAAATACCCTGAACCATGGGGCAATTCAGACAAAACAGACGAGCAAGAGAGACATCCCTAAGTGGAAGTAGAAGCCTAAAGAGGAGAAGTCATCAAAGATCACCCATTTTAATCCTAAAAAGCCCAGTGAGGCCGGGCGCGGTGGCTCAAGCCTATAATCCCAGCACTTTGGGAGGCCGAGACGGGCGGATCACGAGGACAGGAGATCGAGACCATCCTGGCGAACACGGTGAAACCCCGTCTCTACTAAAAAAATACAAAAAACTAGCCGGGCGAGGTGGCGGGCGCCTGTAGTCCCAGCTACACAGGAGGCTGAGGCAGGAGAATGGCGTAAAAAAAAAAAGCCCAGTGGATGGTGGTGATTGGCATAAACAGGGAAGTCAGGAGGGGAGCTGACAACGGAAAGTTCACTTTTAGCTGTGTTTTAAGGACACATGATAAGAGGATAGTGCATGGGAAGAGTGCTGTGGGAACTGGAGATTCTGCCACTAGCATTTCTGTTCCTCAGTTTCCTCTTTCATAAAATGAGAAGTAGATCTAGAATTCATCCTTTGGATTCCTTCCAACTTCCTAGAGGAAGCATGTAAATGAATTAGAGGAAGTAGAAAGCAGATTTCAGGAATTCAAGAGGCAGTGAGTGATCAAGGTATTGGGTCATTAGTCTGCCTTGAAGTAAGAGAGAAGTGGGACAATTACTTACTTTTTAAGATTAAGACAAATGGCGCCTTTTAAGAAATGAGTTAGGCAGGATAATTAATACACCCATATGTAGAATACAGGCTGTCGACAATTAACCTAAGAAATCTAAAGTAAAATGTGTAACAATGAAAGTCAAGTAGCCTTTATTTATAGGAGAGATAAGCTTCAGTTTGTGTGGTGTGATGTGAAGGTGTTGGGAAAGTCCAGCTGCCCCAAAAATGTCTTCCTGATCTTCTTAAAATACTGCCTGGCTTTACACCATTAAAATAAACCTCTTTAAACGTACTTCATAATATAAAATGCACATTTATTTCACATTCAGCTGTTACCATGCTTTCCGGTGCATTAGGGTAGCAGGATGACAACTAGCTACAGTCAACTAAGGAGACAAAGATTTGAAGGGGGAGGAGGAAGGGATTCCTCTGGTATGTGCAGCATTGCTCAAGTCAGTCAGTTCAACAACATGTGGCTGCCTATTATACTCCAGATATTGAGCTAGGTTCTAGACATTAAATGGCAAGTAAGTTGTGGTTCATTGCCTCAAGATGCTTACAGTCCAAAGAGAGTAGACTACATAAAGGTCATGGGGCTGGAGGACTTTTGAAAAGTGGGACCAGTGTCTAAGAAAGAAACAGAGGAGGGACAAAGAAATTTGTTCTCTTCCATCACAACTTTGTTGAAGAATTAGATACCCCAAACAATGCTTTTTCTTGGTCCCAGTGAATCCCCCTAAGGAACTACTAAAATTTAAGCTGGTAGAGTTGACACCCTATAGGCTGAAGAATAACAGATAATTTGAATATCTTTAATTCAATATTTTTTGGCCCTTTGAAATTTAAATTAGTAAAAGTTTACTATATCAGAACTTGTAACCTAAACAGTTGACTATAAAATACAGGTTTACTGATAATTTTTCC